CCCGGCCCCCCGCCCCCCCCCCCCGAGCCGGGCTCCGCCTGCAGGGGCCGAGCGGCTCCTCGGCCGGAGCATACCCGGCGGCAGGTGAGGAGCCCGCCCCGCCCCGGGCACTGACTCCCCCGGGCCCCACGTGCCCGCTCTCCCGGGCTTCATTCTGCACAAGTCACAGCGACCCCGGCTCAGCCGCCTTAGTCCGGGGTGGGCACCGCTTACCCACGGGCTGGGGCTCTGCCACGCTCCCCGGCGGCCGCGCAGCGCCCCGTCCTGCCCGCAGAGCGGGGCTAGAAAGCGCTCGCAAGGCAGCGAAGGCGCTCGGAGGCGAGGACGCGCCTGCCGGCTCCTCACGCCCCCTCCATCCATCCGTCCAGCGCGCCGCGTCTGCGCTGAGTCCCCGCGCCCGCCCACTCCCCGCTTCTTCTCGTTGCAGGGGGTTCTCCTCGGTGGTGGCTCTGGGGGCCAGCATCATCTGTAACAAGATCCCGGGGCTCGCTCCGAGACAGAGGGCGATCTGCCAGAGCAGACCCGATGCCATCATCGTGATCGGAGAAGGGTCGCAAATGGGAATCAACGAGTGTCAATTCCAGTTCCGAAACGGGCGCTGGAACTGCTCCGCCCTGGGAGAACGGACTGTGTTTGGAAAAGAGCTGAAAGTGGGTATGTCACCTCTCCCCGGGGTTGTGGCGAGGCGCGGAGCCGGAGGAGGGATTGGTGTTAGCCCACCTGTCACGGACTCGGACGCTGCCTTGGGGAAAGAAAGTCTGTGCCCGCCAGCACGGGCTCTCTGTCCGTTCGGGAGGGCTGGCAAAAGTCATGCCGTCTGCACATGTTCCTTGGAGAGGACCCCTCGTTTCCATGCTTTAGGGAAGCACTTACAGGGTAAATGCACCAACTTCCTTCCCACAGCCACTGTTCTGTACCTGTATATGCCCTGCCTTTCTGCAGGGTTTCCCCTTTACCTGTAAAACACAAGAGCTCCATTCAGATAATTGAAGACACGGAAGTTACCTTTGAATCTAGTAAAGGGCTGCACTGAGATGTCCTGAATAAAGGCTAGACTTGTGCTCCATGGCCCAGAAATCTTATGAGCCATTGCATAGGCAGACCCAGGATTTTGGAAAGAAAAAGGGGGTGAGGTGAGGGGCAGATGGTGTGGCATATCATCACATGTAACACAACACATATTTTATATTTTTCTCCATTAAAGAGAAACTAGAAGCTTTACTAATATGCTAGGGGGCTAGCACTATGTTATTCCATTTAAGATCAAAGCAAAAATTAATATAAATATTGGAACTTGCACTGATTTGCTAGATTATATATACCATTAAAAACGCAACAAACTAGGCAAAGAATAACTAAAATAGTCAAAAGATAGTGTCACTGGTTTTTATTCATATTCATAAAACAATCTAGCCTTCCTGGATCTCTTGACAATGCCTCCACTGTCAAGTCATTTCTACACCTGAGTTAAGGCTTTTAACTAGAGCTAAGAGCAGTCTGCAGGGCTGTGAAATAGAAAAAAGACACTGCCAGGAATGGCCAACAGAGAGCAAAATTGCAGAAGACAGAATAGTTTGAATAATGGAAAATCAAGACCATTAAAAAGTATAAAGATCATTAACACCTGTGGAGTGGATGGAGGGAGATTAACAGGAATCAAGGGGAGGATAATAAACTAGGAAGTCAATTGCCTGTCCCAGGGCTGCCTGAATAGAAATACGGGGTGGAGCAGAGAATCAAAGCAGGGTGCATCTGCACCATTGTACCTGCCCTGGATCCTAAATTAAACATGCTCAGAAGTTGCCAACCTAGTTGGCAGGAGTCTTACCAGGTCACCTAGCTGTTCTCATTATATAAAGCAGGTTTCTACCATTTAAAACGGGTCTAGGAACAACTGTTGATCTGCCCAGACCTCCAACAGGCACCGTCCAATTCAAACCAAAGTGGGTCTCCCCCAGACCATTACCTGTCCTGGCAGTGGTTCTCAACCTTTTTGGACTCAAAGCATTCCTCAGAAAATGCCAGTCCTTACTTTTCACTCCGATCTTTCACTAGAGAAAAATAATATATCAATTCTTTTGTTGCCAAGAACTCCAAAAAGACCACAACAGATCAACATGTTGTTAACACTGTGGATTCCTATTCCAAATATCTGTGATTTATCCTGTGAATCACGTTTGCACACAAGCAGTACTAACACTGCGTGTCACCCCACAGGACACCTGAAAGGATCTCAGGGCATCCCAGGGTACCATGGCACCCTGGAGACAAATCACTGCTTTAAGGGTCAGTTTCTGATCTGAGCATTCAAACCTAAACCACACAAACATTCAAAGGGTTTCAGTGTGAGTTTCCAGCTTTGGCTTATCTCTTGTATAATACACCTGGGGGGTTCAACTACGAAATTGCAAAATATATATATTTAAAATGCACTTGACCTGTGATTGACCTTGACCTTGCACTGTGATTCCAAGCCTTGGTTTGGGAAGCAGTTCAGTGACCCAATATTTAGATACATGGTCCATGAGGTGAGTGAGTGCTATAATAGTTAACAACATGGGTGCTTTGGGGGACTGAAAAGCAGAATGAAGGAAAGGAGCAATGTCTGACCTGAGCTCTTTTACATAGGGTGCTGGCTCCTTGATTTGTTGTACAAGGCCCTTGGTTCTAGGAAAAGTTCTTTGACTGGATTGGGTTCCAGGCTCTCTCTAGTCTCAATCCACCCCTGTCTGTACCTGGACCAAGGGCAGGAGAGTATAGCTTAATTATAGACCCAGTGCACCAAAGTCGCTAGGCATTCTGGGTGCACAGTAGTAACAGTTTGAGCTCTTCTTGTCTAAGTTCCTTGCCCTAGGAAGTTTAAGTAAAGCTTTTAGCACTGACTGAATGAGAGTTTCCCCCAAGTTCATTTCCTTATAAAGAATAAAAACAAGGAAAAAGCCTAAAATAGACTTAAAGGTTATTTATTTAAGCCCATGTCTGAGAATCAAGCAGAATGAATCAAAATTAGGGCTGCTTTTGAAAATATCCTTGAAAAGCTTTCACTTCTATAAAGTTAGCTCATTCCTGCCATTGATTTACTGAGGCATTTCTCACTGATGTCAGTAAAGCTCATCTTGGAAAACTGATAGGATAGGGGCCAACCTCATTTAGCAATGACCTACACTGTGTGTATTATATATTCGTAGATAGAAAATGTATAGGGGGTTTCTTTTTTGTCCATCAGACCGTGGAGGAATAGTTATTGTGGTCTGCTGCATAAACACTATCAGTTTTTTTCCCCAAAACTGAATTATTTAGTTGGTGGGTTATATTTAGGTACTCTTAAAGAAAGTCAATATTAAAGGAAGTAAGTGGATTTTGATCCATCCTTGAAGTGATACTTCTTAATATATTCTATCTATCCATTATGAAGCTTATATAGGTAAGTGTATTAGAACATATCAGGACAAATTCATTACTGGTCTAACTCCATTTGCTGCAGAATTCACCCCAGGATTGATTTTGGTTCATTGATAATGGACAAAACTCACTTACAATGCATAAGTACCCTTTTTGAACTTTGATCACATACACATTTTCTTATTCACCTTGCCAGCATCATGAACCAAAATACAATCAATTTTCTTACAAAAAGTGTTTTTTTCCTCTTTGAGATCTTATTAAATTGTCCCAAACTAGTAAATAGGTGATTTTTAGACTGATAAAAATCAATTTTGTGTTGACCTTTTTAATGGAAAAGTTAGTTTCAGAGCAAACTATGATGGCAAAGTTAACTCCGTGAAAAATTGTAAGACTATTCAGTGCCACTAAATATTACTAACTTTAGTATAATTGTTAATGTGCAACAGAATGTCTCCTGACTCCCTTGGCTTCCTATCTCTATCAGCACTGCACATTTGATACAGACACTATCATTTTACCAAAAAGTAGAAAAACCACTTATTTCCTAGAAGACTCCTCTGAGCTACTCACAATTTTCTATTCCCTTTTATCAACTGCCCTTTCTCTCTCCTTAAGTATAAATTACCATTCACTATAATCTAGGCTAATATTTCACTGAGTTAAAAAGAGCAACAATCCCTCATAAAGCCAAAGGCCAGACTTAATGCCCACAATTAAGGCAAGATAAAAAGGAAAGCCCCACATACCTTGTCCTAAACAGAAGGATAAGGATTGGGGAAATGACATATGCAACACGAAGTTGTAAACCAAAACATAGCTCCTTATTGTAAATAGTACACTAATAACAATGCAAATGAATTCTGAGGTCAAAATATTTTCTACTTGTATTTTTCCTCATGCCAATCAGCTAGAGCTCTAGATTTTTAATACCTTGACATGCCTTCTGTAAAATGTTATTAAAATACTATAAAAGATATTTTAATATTAGTTAATCTTTGAAGGCTGATTAAGTCTTTTAGTCTGGATGATTCTTTAAAAATGTTACACCAATGGTTTCACAATTAAAACTTGCAATAAAATCATTAGACCACATGACATCATTCCACTTTCTTGATTAGATGACTAGGATCTGACCTGACAGTGGCACTGATGTACTTACACTAAGGGGGACAGTAATGTAACTTGGTTTATCACTGCACTGCCTGAGATTGCAACTTGGGAGTGCTTGTATACAAGAAAGAAATGCTAACATAATTTTGTGATAATTTACTAAGTGAATAACAATTAGGTGTATAAATCTGTAACAGTTGGTTGTCCTAAAGACTGCATATTGATTATGACTGATGCATATCAGAGGAGGTTTTGGTAACAGATTAAATCAAATCTGTCTCTCTGATTGCTTTACTACTTTCCCTTGCATTGGGTAATCTTCAGCATGTGCAGCCAAACTAATGCAAACTTAATTTTCTTTTGTTTGGGACTCAAGAAACCTGTCATTCTGTTTTTGGCTTTGCCACTGGCAGGCTAGATGACCTCGGAAAAATCACTTTCTCTCCCTGTTCCTCAGTTGTCTATGGATGACAAATGCTGTATGAGAGCTGTCCATTATTGATTGTAAATTAATTTATTAGGAAATCCTATTTTACTTTGATAATTTTTCCTTCAGTCATAGTTTGGAAAAAAGGATTATACCTAGTGACCACTTAAGTTCCATTATTATTACAATGGCATTTAGTGGTTTCTGAAGCATACCATATTGTTCCATATATAGTGGTATACTGTCTAGCTTGTCCTTCAAAAGAGAGAGAGACTTTGTTACTGATGCTAATAGTGGGTATCTTGCCATAATCAGAGATCCTGGTTTTTCCTGATAAAATGTCTCAAATTCTCTGATAAAAACCCAAACCCACAGCTCCTGGTCCCCCAGAGGCAGCTCCTAGCTGACAGAGCTACAGGCCCAGGGACTTGGGTCTGCAGCCCCCTGCCCCTGGCAGGAGGAGGAGCTGTTGCAGTGGAGCAGAGCCCAGTTCTGCCCCCTGCCCTGCCTGCCTACTGATTTCAGTACTTGGGGATCTTCAGGCATAAGCAAGGACAAATTTTCACAGTAAGACAAATTTCTGCTGACATCAGTTTCAGGAAATTGATAGGTAGGGTTCAAAGACCTGATGAAACAGAAAAGTCTTTGGCTACAACAGCAAATGTCCGTTTGGGCAGTAATGGACCAAGTTCTACCATGGAGGCTTTTCACT